TAGGGGGAGCGGGAGGGGATTTATCCTGTCCGTTCTGGGGCAACTTCCTAGAACACTAAGCACTGCTGTCCCGCAAGAGTGAGGCCACTCTTGCGCTAGCAGCCCAAGTAATCGCCCAGCCACCTCCCCCACCCCCATAAAAAAATCGCACTGTCTGTGCTGCTCTCCTAGTCAGAAACAGTTTAATTAATAACATGAAGTAAAACATGCAAGTTGTTGGGACTTGAAACGTTCTGGCTTCTAAGAATAGGCCATCACACCTTGATAGGCCTGTTGCGTAATTAGGAGAGAAACAGTTCTCATCTTTCAGTAGTAACTAATTTTATTGAAAGCTTTAATAACTGCTACCTCGTTATTGTGAGAATTATGGTGGGGATTATCAGTCCTGTCTTAAAGTCAAGGAAACTGGAGTTTAGAGAGGTTAAATAACGTCCTCAGGGTTACACAAGACTAACCGGCGCGGCTCAGCAGTAGCCCACGTTCTTTATGATCATAATAAACACTAAACTTCTTTTTTCTAAAGCTCCCTTAATAGATTTAGGGAAGCTGAGAACTAGTATCACAATGAAGTTGTCAATGCAATGAAGTTAACCGTCAATTGTCTTAGCTGGTTTGAATTAAGCAAGTTTGCTGAAAAATATGCAATATTCTTAAGATTATGGGTCAACCACCATGAGAAAATATGTCCAACCTCAAAAGTAACAAAAGGAAAGTGAATACAAGCAATGCAACATCCTTCTCTATGAAGTGGACAGAGCTGTGTTTGAAGTTAACATTCATTCTTGGAGAAAGCGTGGTGAAGCCGCTGCTGCTGCTGCTCTGTAATGGGCTTGCAGACAAGTGGGTTTCCGAAGGGCGATCTGATTTGAGAAAAATGCATCAAGTTCCCCAGAGATGTCACTACCTTAGCAGCCAGTAACTCTAGTCCTGCCTTAATCTGTTAAAAAAGTCAGAGTTAAAATATTTCTGTGCAAGAAGAAATAATATTATTTACAGTAGCAAAAAGTTGAAAAGAACCTTAAATATTGGTTAAATGTAAGATAGACTACTATGTGGTCCTTACTCATGTTTTTGAAGGATATTTAATATGGAGATATGTGAGTGCTATAATGTTAAGTGGAAAAACAACCTATGACTCTCTCTCTCTCTCTCTCTCTATATATATATACACATATATATGTTACCATTTTGTGTTTATATGGATATATACACAAAGACATGTATAAGTAATATATCCAATATATCCATACATAGAGAGAGAAAAAGAGAGATTAAAAGACTAGTAAGTAATGTTTTAATGGTAGTTAAATAGATATTTAATGGTAGTTACCACTGAGTACTGGAATTGTGGGTGACTTTTTTCCATCACGCTTTTCTATAATTTTCAAATATTCTACAATAAATATACGGTATGCTACTTTCATAATGAAAACTGACATTTTAAAATCCTGGGACATTTAAACATAAAAGACAAGAATTCCTCAACTCCTGGATACAGCTGTCCAAACAAAGTGATACTATGGTAACACAAAAAAAGTCAGGTGGTAGAGAGAATGAGTTAAAAATGAAACAAAAACACCTGTCTACTAACTGCCCTTTCTCTCAGGAATGAGTAGTATGTTCAAAAATTCACTTTGGTTTACTTGAACCTAAACACTAAGAAAAACAGTTACAGTTATATGGCTGAGGCACTCTGACTTGGAAATAATTTGCCATTTGTATGCTATAAATTATAAGTTATATAATATACACGCAGAGATACATACATATCTTAGTAGAATATACAAGTCCCAAGAG